AACTTCTAATGAACAGATAAAAATAATAACCAAATCGTGATAACTGATAACCAATTTCTTATCAGTAATACCAATGTCACACTAACACTCCTTATCGCCTCGTTTGACCTGTGTCCGTCCTCTTGATCCAGTGATAACGTATCTTGGGGTATTTTCCTTATCAGTGAATCAAGTGTTGTAATTGGTGTATTTCTGAGGATTTTAATTGGATAATCAGAAGTATAATTTTGTATATAATTTGGAGATAAAATTTCCTCTACGCTTCGGGTTATCTGTCATCTACTTGCGGGTTGATACTTGTGGTGGTGTATAGGTCGTGAGGACACAGATTCGAATCCCTCTTACCTGTAGGATCCTCAATCATATGCCAGATTTTTTCCGAAGGTGTGCAGGGAATTTTTGGTAGTAACTGGATTTTCGTTCCTTCTCTCCCCCTCCATCACCCCCTACTTCTTCCCCCTACTTCTTTCTCCTCTTTTTCCCCCCTCTTCCCCTTTACCTCTTCCCCCTACCTCCCCTCTTTCCCCCCTCTCCCATCTCTCCCCCCCCACCACCACCACCCCCCAAAAAACGAGTGAGGAAAGGCAGAATTTTTTTTTTCATTAACAAACCTCAGATCAAGTTGCCCGTGAAGGTAATTTTAGGTTAAAAATATAAACCAACCATTTTTTATTATTTATTTATTTATTTATTTTATTTATTTTATTTATTTATTTGTTTTATTTTATTTATTTATTTATTTATTTCATGTATTTATTTTTTATTATTTATTAATTTTATTTATTTATTTTATTTATTTATTTATTTATTTATTTATTTATTTATTTATTGCCTGGACTTTTAGAGATCCATTTTTCACCCGTTAACATAGATCATCGTTCAATACTGGTCGGGTCGGGTCGTGGTCGGGTCTGGTCGGATCGGATCGGGTCGGATCGGGTCGTGGTCGGGTTGGTTCATGGTTTCTACGTCCTACTAGCAAAAAATCGATGTTTAAGTGATAGTGGGCAGGATAGATAAGGGAGAGAGAGTTAACTTATCAACTTAGGGATGGTGATATTTAAGGGGTAAGTGGGCAGATTACCAACACAGGGATGATTTAAGGGACAATAGGTTATGGTAACACAGATGATAGCTAAGGTGGTAATGGGATTGATTAACATAGGGGTGATTAACATAGGGGTGTTTCAAGGGTAGCGGCGGCACAGGAGGTAGGTTAAGGGGTGTGGGGAGGTGAGGAGGGGAGGAGGTTAGGGAAGGGGTTAGGGAAGGAGGTTAGGGGAAGGGTTAGGGGAAGGAGGTGAGGGAGGGATTAGGGGAAGGGGTTGGGAAGGGGGTTAGGGGAAGGGGTTAGGAGAAAGGGGAAGAAGTTGGGGGTGGGAGGGTTAGGGAAGAGGGGTAAGGTAGGGAGGTTAGGGAAGGAGGGTGAGGGAGGAGGTTAGGGGAAGGGGTTGGGGGAGGGAGAGGGGTGAGGGAGGTTAGGGAGGTTAGGGGGAAGGGGGTTGGGGAAGGAGGTTAGAATGAGGGGGAGGGGGTTAGGGGATACCAACAAGATATAGAGTTACCTCAGCCTCACGTCACGGGTTATCATCCTTCCCTCCCCCTTCCTCTCCCCTTCCTCTCCTCTCCCCTTCCCTCCCCACCCCTTCCATTTCATGTCTCTTCTACACATAAGTACAGTTGTCTATATATATTTAAGCACCTATGCATAACTTAACGCATGTATACCCCACTAGTACTTATTCAATACACACCTGGCCATGTATACACCCACCTACACCTGCTCTCCACCTACTCCACCTGCAAACATCCACCTACTCCACCTACAAACATCCACCTACTCCACCCACAAACATCCACCTACTCCACCTACAAACATCCACCTACTCCACCCACAAACATCCACCTACTCCACCCACAAACATCCACCTACTCCACCCACAAACATCCACCTACTCCACCTACAAACATCCACCTATTCCACCCACAAACATCCACCTATTCCACCTACAAACATCCACACAGCAATTATCTCCACGGTGAATTTTAGTGTGTACAAGAATATAATAATCTACCTTATATAACCCTGAAATAATAGCATGGACGCCTTTACATACGGGTTGTAGTTTTCTCTCTTAGTGTTGTGAAATATAGGGGTCTCGATATCGACTCATAGATAAGGGTAACATATTTGTGGTGGTCCCTAGTGAACTGTGTGTGTGTGAAGTCGTATTTCATCAAGATATCGTTTATACAATGCAGGTACTGTAGGTTTTAATTGTATCTCGGATTATTGTATTATATTGTATTGTATTGTATTGTATTGTTTGTATGAGCTTCTTAGTTTTAGAAATATGACATAAACTTTACCATACAGTATAGATATTTTGGTGCTGATATTTGGTGGAAACTTTATAAAGGTAAGTTGTGTCTTGAGGGCGTGGTAGCAGCTAGGGTTAAGGCTGTGGTTGTCAGTCGTGTGCTGGGTAGTTTAATGAGGCTTCCTGGCGCGTGGTGCTATGGGTGGGTGGGTGGTTAGGTAGGTGGTGGGTGGGTAGGTGGGGCATCTAAGTGTGATTTTAATGTCGTTATGGCCACGGGTAATTTATTAACTATAGCTTCAGTGAGGTGATTAAATATTTGTCATGTCTCCATTCAGGAAGATTTAGTAACGAGCCTGGTAATGCGAACTCCAGGATACAGTTTATTTCGTAAGGCAGCGCGAGTCTCTTGTCAAAAATCTGAGCCACAATCCTCAAAGGTTCTTATGTAAAATTGTCCTCCTGCAATTAAGGGTGTAAGGAGGCGTTTAATATCTTAGGTACATCGTTGAAGTCACTGGTGATTTTGCCCGGCAGGGAGGCGGCCCACAGAGCTTATATTTTTAATAATGTGACCTGAAGGTTTATTGTGGTCCTCGAGGTGGTTTTTGAATGAGTACTTGAGTGGAGTCCCTTACAAATCTTAGAGTGCGCTTGAGTGTCATCGTAATCTCTGAAGACCCACCAGTTATCCGGCCATCAGTGAGTGCCTGAATATATGAATGAAACCTAACCACATCCTCACGAAATCTAATTATGTACATTTTATGGAGAATTAGGGTAGTTATGGTAAAATTGAACGTCGGAGCCCTTGTGGTTCTTCCGGTAAACACAGAAAGACGTAAACAAACAATGATGTGCTGCTAACATGTGGACGGAGGTAAACAAAGAGGCTGAGGTAATAACATAATTTTTCCTGTGGACGATATCGAGTTTTTGGTTTTGGGGAAGGTCTCTCTCTCTCTCTCTCTCTCTCTCTCTCTCTCTCTCTCTCTCTCTCTCTCTCTCTCTCTCTCTCTCTCTCTCTCTCTCTCTCTCTCTCTCTCTCTCTCTCTCTCTCTCTCTCTCTCTCTCTCTCTCTCTCTCTCTCTCTCTCTCTCTCTCTCTCTCTCTCTCTCTCTCTCTCTCTCTCTCTCTCTCTCTCTCTCTCTCTCTCTCTCTCTCTCTCTCTCTCTCTCTCTCTCTCTCTCCTCTCTCTCTCTCTCTCTCTCTCTCTCTCTCTCTCTCTCTCTCTCTCTCTCTCTTTCTCTCTCTCTCTCTCTCTCTCTCTCTCTCTCTCTCTCTCTCTCTCTCTCTCTCTCTCTCTCTCTCTCTCTCTCTCTCTCTCTCTCTCTCTCTCTCTCTCTCTCTCTCTCTCTCTCTCTCTCTCTCTCTCTCTCTCTCTCTCTCTCTCTCTCTCTCTCTCTCTCTCTCTCTCTCTCTCTCTCTCTCTCTCTCTCTCTCTCTCTCTCTCTCTCTCTCCTCTCTCTCTCTCTCTCTCTCTCTCTCTCTCTCTCTCTCTCTCTCTCTCTCTCTCTCTCTCTCTCTCTCTCTCTCTCTCTCTCTCTCTCTCTCTCTCTCTCTCTCTCTCATATACTAAGACAAACATCGATTCTATCTAACGTGGAATCTGATATATTAACCCAGGCTCCAGATTCTTAAACCTTCGTAACGTTAATTAGTATTCCTCATACCTGTTAATTTAAGGTAAATTCATAAGAAAAACTAACAAATTTAACATCAGAATTATATTAACATTTTCTGGGAACTAAAGGTAAAATATCATAAAATAACATAGGAATTTAACTTCAGAAATATACTAACACTTTCATAAAAATTAACATAGGAATTTATCTTCAGAAATATACTAACACTTTCATAAAAATTAACATAGGAATTTAACATGAGAATTAACCTAACACTACCTTAAATACAGTCGTTTAACATGACTTAATATAACAAAATTAACAGAATATTTGGATAAATTTGTTATTGTCTCAGTGATGGACTTAAGTCAATTAGATAAGTGCGTTGCTAATGGACTTCAATCTAATGGGTTAAGTCCGTTATATGGAGGTTTTGCATCTAACTGACCTCGTTAAATGGAAGTTTCGCATTTAACGGACCTCGTTAAATGGAAGTTTCGCATCTAACGGACCTCGCTATAATGAAACGTCCTGCTTAATGTTTGTTATATGGAGGTTTCGCATCTAACGGACCTCGCTATAATGAAACGTCCTGCTTAATGTCCGTTATATGGAGGTTTCGCATCTAACGGACCTCGATAAAATGAAACGTCCTGCTATAATGTCTGTTATATGGAGGTTTCGCATCTAACTGACCTCGATGTAATGAAACGTCCTGCTATAATGTCTGTTATATGGAGGTTTTGCATCTAACAGACCTCGATATAATGAAACGTTCTGCTATAATGTCTGTTATATGGAGGTTTCGCATCTAACGGACCTCGATATAATGAAACGTTCTGCTATAATGTCTGTTATATGGAGGTTTCGCATCTAACGGACCTCGATATAATGAAACGTCCTGCTTAATGTCGTTTATATGGAGGTTTCTCATCTAACGAACCTCAATATAACGTACTACACACTCATTTAGTTCGTTAAATAGAGGTCTCACTGCATATATATGTGTGTGGTCCTTATATAAGGTGTCTGGCTTATAGGTTCACACTCAAAGGTCACACTCAAAGCTCACACTCAAGGTTCACACTCAAGGTTCACACTCAAAGGTTCACACTCAAGGTTCACACTCAAGGTTCACACTCAAAGGTTCACACTCAAAGCTCACACTCAAGGTTCACACTCAAAGGTTCACACTCAAAGCTCACACTCAAGGTTCACACTCAAAGGTTCACACTCAAAGTTCACACTTAAGGCTCACACTCAAAGGTCACTCTCATGGTTAATTTCTCCACCTTAATTAGAGATGTAATCACTGGCCTAACTGAGTCCCTTAAGCCATTACCTGAAGGCGAGTCATCAAAGGTTCCCGCGGTAATTTTTTCCTCAAACAGAAGATGTAAAATGTTCCTCCTTGGCTCACTGAAGCAACACGTAAAGATGCCGATCACCTGAAGAAACTCCAACCTAACCTAACCTAATCTAACCTAACCTAGCCTAACCTAACGTGAATCTAACCTAACCTAACCTAACGTGAATCTAACCTAACCTAACCTAACGTGAATCTAACCTAACCTAGCCTAACCTAACCTAACCTAACCTAACCTAACGTGAATCTAACCTAACCTAACTAACCTAATCTAACCTAACCTAGCCTAATCTAACGTGAATCTAACTTACCCCAACCTAACCTAACGCTAACGTTATATGGAGGTATAAATCCGTTATATGGAGGTACAAATCCGTTATATGGAGGTATAAATCCGTTATATGGAGGTATAAATCCGTTATATGGAGGTATAAATCCGTTATATGGAGGTTTCACACTATGACAATATATTTATCTCTGCATTTCTTTATTATTATTTTCTTGTTTATAAAGTCGTAAGTTCGTTTTAATGTCAATAATTTCTCGTGTCAGATCATCCGCGTGGTTTAACTTCTATCACCCTCCCCTCCCTCATCCGCGTGGTTTAACTTCTATCACCCTCCCCTCCCTCATCCGCGTGGTTTAACTTCTATCACCCTCCCCTCCCTCATCCGCGTGGTTTAACTTCTATCACCCTCCCCTCCCTCATCCGCGTGGTTTTAAGTGGCGTCTAACGATGGTATTGGCTTTGCATAATGAATCTTGATTACTAACCATCACCACCAATTAGGTTGTTCAGCTTTTAATGGTCGTTTATTAGGAACTGGTTATCCGAAACTCGGGAATTGGTTTTTATTTTTGTAATTTATTTTGTTTTCTTTGTGTTTTTATGTGTTTAAGTGTGTGTGTGTGTGTGTGTTTGTGTGTGTGTGTGTGTGAGGGAAGACATCGGGTAGAAAGAGCAGCTTTATAATTTCTCTCTAAGGTCAGGTCAGGTTAGGGTACATTAGATTATGTTAGGTTAGGTTGTGTTGTGTTAGTAATGTTGTGTTGTGTTGATGATTTGTATTGTGTTTTGTTGTTTTGTGTTGTATTGTATTTCCTTTTGTATTACTAATCAGTGTTGTTGTTGTGTTACAGTGGAGCCCAATGGAGATGTGGCCACAGGGGAGAAGGGGCTGTTCCCTAACGTCATCAACCTGGCCACACGAGCACGTATCACCGCCAACGCTACCTGTGGTCAAGATGGCTCTGAGGTTAGTTGGCCACTTGTACTTCACACCTGTTCTACCTTTATTCCACACCTGTTCTCCACACCTGTTCTACCTTTATACCACACCTGTTTTCCACACCTGTTCTACCTTTATACCACGCCTGTTCTCCACACCTGTACTACCTTTAGACCACACATGTTATACCTTTATTCCACACCTGTTCTCCACACCTGTTCTACCTTTATACCACGCCTGTTCTCCACACCTGTACTACCTTTAGACCACACATGTTATACCTTTATTCCACACCTGTTCTCCACACCTGTTCTACCTTTATACCACGCCTGTTCTCCACACCTGTACTACCTTTAGACCACACATGTTATACCTTTATACCACACCTGTTATACCTTTATACCACACCTGTACCATACACCAGCACTCCACACACCTATGCTACATGCCTGTATATTATCCCTATACGTCATACCCTTACTCCACACCTGTCCTCCACACCTGTCCTCCACACCTGTTCTCTATACCTGTAATACCTATTTTCCATATCTATATTACACACCAATACGACATACCTGTAGTCCACACCTGTACTTCACACCTCTTCTTGTACCACACCTGTCCATCTCACCTGTAAATAGCAATCACAACAAACGTAAATAGCGCACAGTCACAACACACAGTCACAGCGACTTTATATAGCAGTCATAGCAAACGTAACTAGCAAACAGTCCCAGCAAACAAACAGAATCCAGCCAACTCCTCCACCATAGCGCACAACACACTAGGCAGATCGACCTGAATGATAACTGATTTGATTGTTCATGTCCATAGTATTTTTCGCTGCGTTTTTATTTGTTTTCCTTTATTTTTCCTTTCCTTCCTTTCTTCCATTTCTTCTTTCCTTCCCTCAATTCTGCCTCCCTTTTCCTGACTTCTTTCTTTCATCCCTTTTCCTTCCTTCCTTCCTACCTTGCTTCATTCATTTCTTCTCTTGCTTCAATTTCTTCCTTCCTTCATCCAATTCTTCCTTCTTTCCTTCCTTCTCCTATCTTTTCCTCTCCTCTTATCAACCTGGTGACCAAAATAAAAGACCTGATATCTTCACACTCTGGATAACTATTTCTATTTATATCTCAAAAAAAAACCTAGTTATCATTATTTTAACTCGTATTGGGAATCATTAACTCGTATATAACTCTTAATTAATAGCCAATAGGTGGGTAATTAATAGACAGTGTGAAATAATAGCCATCAGATTCACGTCTGTCTGATATGGTTGACAGCACAAATTATGTATAGTAATATATGAATACACAGCTTAAGGTACTACTTCGTGTCCATATTATACAACAATCATTGGGCGTCTGTCATAATCCAGATTGGTATTTGCAGCGCCTTGGGGGAGGATTCACTGGAAGATTAGCCCATCAGACACACACTCCAGAGTATCGTGTTCCGTGGCGGGTGATGGGGAGGTGGATGATATTAACGATTGGAGACGATTTTTAAAACTACAGTATATATATATATTTTTTTTTAATGGGTTTGTTATCAGTTTATCATCGCCAAGTGTAGTAGGGATTATAGTAGTGGATAAGCCAATGGTATTTAAATTAGGAACTATGCAGAGGTGATAATCCAAGTCATTTGTGTTTGATTTAAATAACTTTCAAAAAAAAAGTAATAATATTTTTTATTGTTTTTTCCGTTAGATTTTTGTTTCCGATTACAATTCTCACTTTATCTTCAACCACATAAGAAATACTATACGCCGCCTCTTCTACCTCCCACCCAAAAGACTTAGACTACGTGTGTTGACCTCTGTGGCAGCTTCGTGTAGGTGTTTTAAGAATTGTACCTCTATACTATACTACTGGACGAGTTGAGTACGGTGGGGTCTCTCTCTCACCTGGCAGGTATCAAGTTCGTCCTTAAGAGGGTTAGGCTGTAAGGCTAGGCTGTTGTTTGGTACCTGGTGAGGCGAGGGTGTGGTGCTAGGTTAGGGTGCTAGGCTAGAATAGGGTGCTAGGTTAGGGTAGGGTGCTAGGATAGAATAGGGTGCTAGGATAGAATAGGGTGCTAGGTTAGGGTAGGGTGCTAGGTTATGGTATGATGCTAGGTTAAGGTATGGCGTTAGGGTAGGGTGCTAGGTTATGGTATGGTGCAAGGTTAAGGTATGGTGTTTGGGTAGGGTGCTAGGTTAGGGTATGATGCAAGGTTATGGTATGGTGCTAGGTTAAGGTATGGCGTTTGGGTAGGGTGCTAGGTTAGGGTATGGTGCCTAGGTAGGTGTTTGGGTAGGGTGCTAGGTTAGGTAGGGTGCTAGGTTAAGGTAGGTGTTTGGGTAGGTGGTTGGTATGATGCAAGGTTAAGGTATGGTGTTAGGGCATGGTGCTAGGTTATGGTATGGTGCAAGGTTAAGGTATGGTGTTTGGGTAGGGTGCTAGGGTATGATGCAAGGTCTATATACCTCCAGTTCACGGTGTCTGCCGACTTTTGTTCTCGACTGTACAGTACATGATGACTGTACTTGTTTGTTTGTTAATTTGTTTATTTACTCACCATACCTATGTGTGTTTGTTGACGTTCATACATGTGTGTGTGTGTGTGTGTGTGTGTGTGTGTGTGTCATAGAGGTACCTAACCTGTACAGTATGTTTGCATGACTCTGTGCTTGACCATTTCAGGTGTGTTGTTAATTGCTCTCAGCGTGTCATTAATAGTACGAGCGAGTCTGGGTGAGTGTGCGTGCGTGCCTGATTGGTTGGTGGGTGTTCCTGATTGGTAGGGGGACTACTTGATTGGTATGCATCTTGATTGCATTCTTCTCTTGGTGATTCGTCCGATGTGATTGGTGGTCGTACCTGCGTGCTTGATTGTGTCTGTGTGATTGGTGATAGTGCCTGTTTGTGATTGGTGAGGTACGTGTGTGTGGGGGGGGTTAGGTGTGATGATAGTGCTCGTGTGCTGATGGGTGTGTGTGTGTGTGTGTGTGTGTGTGTGTGTGTGTGTGTGAACTGTGGTTGTAGCGTCAGTGTTGTCAGTCAGTGTTGTCAGTCAGTGTTGGCAAGGATCCACGTGAGGTTTGCCTTGGTGGGTTGGGTTAATGGGTGAGGAGGCTGTGTGTGTTTGTTCCCTTGTAAACACTGAGGCGACGTGCCGTACCATCCTTACTTCCCTTCCCTTCCCTTGCCTTCCCTTCCCTTCCCTTTCCTCTCACCTTCTTTCTTCTCTCCCTTCCTTCTTCCTTCCTCTCCTCCTACTTCCCTTCCCTACCTCTTTTTCTCCTTCCCTTCCTTTCCCTCCATATCTCCGTTTTCCCCTCCCTCCCTCCCTCCCTCCCTCCCTCCCTCACTACTCAGGCACACCTCCTGCCAACCGTGCCACATAATGCCAGTAATTACTCACCATGTTATCCGTATAAATACTCCTGACTCTATGTACCATTTCAGCAGACTGTAGTTTCATAAAAAAAATAATGTCCCTCTTTCAGCATTTCCCTGAGATATTTTGTATTTCTTGTCAAAGTTGATTTTGGTTACATTAACTCAGGGTGGAGTGCGGTGGTGGAGTACTTACAGAACTTGATATTGAAACAGTTTATTTAGCCAGAAAAAACACAGATACAGAGTGGATAATAATAACATGATAATTTCTGATAAACCGGTTTTGGTGGTACAATAAAAGCAGGTATATAAAGTAGGTATTACAAAAAAAATATTAATACTTAAAACAATAGATATTTTTTAAGAGATGATTTAAAGGAAGGGAGCGTAGTCTTTGCTGGGATGGGTGGGGGTAAGTTGTTCCACACCTCACACCGTGATATTTTATGGAGGTCTGGGACTGGGAGGAGCGCCTGGGGGGAGGTCTTAGTAGCTCTGGGTGCCTTAAGTTGTATCTCTGATTATTCCGGAACTGGAACTTGCCTCCTGTCCCAAGGGTCGGTGGTTCGATCCCGAGGCACCCTAGGCCACCCAGCTGAAACAAGGTTGGTGAGGTGAAGGCGGTACAGCGTAGTATCGTCCACGCTGTCTCCTTGTGTACCAAAGGCTGTTAAATCCACACTGTCCCTAATGGGCAATCAGACCTTTGGGGACCCTCTTACTATCAGCCCCAGACCTCACAGTATACTCAAATACTCCTGGTAAAGAATCTATTGGGAAATATTTTAACCTACATTTACCTCCACACAATTCCAAAGTGAACGTAATAGAACGTATCTAGTTAACAATGTTATTTAGGTGATTAAGACAAAAACAATTACAAGAAAGTCATTGTACGAGCCTAAGTAAAACAGCTTCCAGGATCTACTTGTTAACCATTTATAGTTACAATGAAAAGCATAGAAAGAAAATACAACGCATAGTGAAGGTACAGAGTAAATGGTTGTTGTGTGTTCCACTTGGTTCACTAGACGCTTGACTGAGTACACCACACACGTTGAATGTCAGTAGGTGATGGTTTGCTGAGTTTACTGAAGGAGGGTGAGAGAAGGAGAGGGACAGGTAGAAAGAGGTTAATGTTTGGGGAGATGAGACGAAAGGGTTAAAAGGGGGGAATGGGGGAAGGAGGGAGATAAAGAGAGGGGTAAAAAGAGGAAAGAAAATTAAAGACAGAAAGAAAGAAAGGCGAAACGAAAGCGAGTATAGTAAATAGATAGAAGGAACGACTAAGAGAAGGAAGATGGGAAGGAGAGAGAGAGAAGTGTGTGTGTGTGTGTAGCGAGAAGTGATAGCTACAGCAGGTCGAGTTTTAAAGGAACGATAAAGTAAGAGATCGTAGTGTAGGGGGGCCTTAGAGTAGGGAGTCTAGAGGAGGGAGTCCAGAGTAGGGAGTCTAGAGGAGGAAGAATAGAGTAAGGAGTCTAGTAGAGGGAGTCTTGAGTAGGGAGTCTAAGAGTAAGAGATATAATGAGAAATAATGTAAGGGGTTAAAGTGTACAGTATCTAGAGTAAGAGAAGGTTGCTCTGGAAGGGAACAAGAGTAAGAGTAATAGAGTAAAATGGCAAATACAGGAAATCTAGAGTAAGGGTTTTTATTATAGAGCCTCTTAGAGTAAGGTGTAGAGTTAGTAGTATTGGAGGAGGGCTCACCAGGGCCTTGTTGTGGGTGTCTATTTTAGGCCATGAAAGTAGGCTGTAGGTCTGAGGTGTCAAGGGCTGGTGGGGCGAGGGCGTGGTAGTGTTAGGTGGGCGTGATAGTAAGGTTGTGGGCGTGAAGGGCGTGAGTCAGCTCCACAATATATGCAGCCAGACTCAGGGTGACTTTTATGGTCAGATAACTGGAGCTGTCTCAGGTGGTGGCCAGGTGGTACCCCAAGGAGTGTGTCAGGTAGTGTGCAGGTGGTAACTCAGGTGATACCATTATAGGTACTCAGATGGTGACCAGGTGGTAACTCAGGTGATACCATTATAGGTACTCAGATGTTGACCAGGTGGTAACTCAGGTGATACCATTATAGGTACTCAGATGGTGACCAGGTGGTAAATAAGGTAATTGCCCTGCGGTATCTCGGATAATATCCCTAGAAATACCTTAATTATGACAGGTGTTTATGTTGACAGGTGTTTTTGTTGACAGGTGTAACTGAGACGGGTGTTTATGTTGACAGGCGTAAGTAAGACAGGTGTTTATGTTGACAGGTGCAATTAAGACAGGTGTTTATGTTGACAGGTGCAATTAAGACAGGTGTTTATGTTGACAGGTGTAACTACGACAGGTGTTTATGTTGACAGGTGTAACTAAGACAGGTGTTTATATTGACAGGCGTAAGTAAGAGGTGTTTATGTTGACAGGCGTAATTATGACAGGTGTTTATGTTGACAGGTGTAACTACGACAGGTGTTTATGTTGACAGGCGTAAGTAAGAGGCGTTTATGTTGACAGGCGTAATTAAGACAGGTGTTTATGTTGACAGGTGTAACTACGACAGGTGTTTATGTTGACAGGTGTAACTAAGACAGGTGTTTATATTGACAGGTGTACTGCAAGTTGACGGAACACTCGGGTAACCGTGCACCTCAGTGTGGTGTGTGTGATTCTCGCTCACCCGACCCTGCCAGGCGTCATCCCATCACCAACGCCATCGACGGCACTAACTCCTGGTGGCAGTCCCCTTCACTCGCCGCCAACAGGAAGTTCGAGTGGGTCACCATCACCCTCGACTTAGAACAGGTAAGTGAGAGAGAAGGACAAGAGGAGAGGAGGAGATAGAGGAAGGTGATAATTGTCTTGTGTAGGAAGAGGTGAAGGTTTGCCCCCTATAGAGACGTAAGGTGAGGGGACGGACATCTTCTGTAGGGAGAGGAGCCGATGATTCTATGACCTCTTCAATAGGTTTTGCTGAGGAGAAGGTGAAGAGATATGTAGGCTTTGTGGGGAGTCTGTCCCGAGTTCAGGAAGACAATGTACTCAGTAGATTAAGGACTTATCGGACTCATCGTATTCGGCGTTGTTATTGTACTCAGGTCATTTTATCATCTTAATCGAAAGGGTTATATTCGTACTCAAGAGGTTAAATAAAAGTAATCATAAATTAACTTAGTGGTTAATGTTAGAAATAGTTGTCACATTTTCACAGTAGGTTAGGTTAGGTTTGGTTAGGTTAGGTTTGGTTAGGTGAGGTTTAGGTTAGGTTAGGTTAGGAAGATAACAGGAAAGTCAATTTTACCCTATGGTCCGTCTTAAGGTTAGAAGATACTTGTCTACATAAATGTAAATGAAAATTGCATATTTAACCCTTTCAGGACGATGACTTAACCCTCTGAGGATGAGTGGGATAAAACACGCTCTCAAAGGGTTAAATCATCGTCTTCAAAGGGTTAAATCATCGTCCTTAAAGGGTTAAATCACCCTCCTCAAAGGGTTAAATCACCCTCCTCAAAGGGTTAAATCACCCTCCTCAAAGGGTTAAATCACCCTCCTCAAAGGGTTAAATCATCGTCCTCAAAGGGTTAAATCCTCCTCCTCAAGGGGTTAAACCATAGTCTTCAAAGGGTTAAATCATCGTCCTCAAAAGTTTAAATCATCGTTCTCAAAGGGTTAAATCATCGTCCTCAAAGGGTTAAATCACCGTGCTCAAAGGGTTAAATCCTCCTCCTCAAAGGGTTAATAGAAAAAAAAAAAACATTCCAGAAAGCATATATCTTAAAACTTAATTACCAACAGGTATGTCCAGACGAATACCTGTACCCTCATCTATTCCCACAACACAACGTGATATTGACGGTATATGGTGCATCGTTGACACCGTGTAGCGTTGAGGAATGACCATAATAAACACGGGGTTAATAGTAAACATCATTGTGGGTAGGTCGACAAAGGTGAATACTGTACCTTAGGGCATTAAGGCGTGATATCTCAAGCCCTGGTGGGGGTATTACTGAACCTCGTGTCACCTGAAGAATTTTTATCCTAGTTATTTTACCTGATTAGCTATCCTGATTGTATTTGTGGGATGGGGTTAGGTTGGGTTAGGTTGGGTTAGGTTGGGTTAGGTTGGGTTAGGTTAGGTGAACGTGTGAGCCTGGTAGGGGTAGATAGGTAGATGTGAGGTGAACGTATGGCCCAGGTATTAGGTTGATTGTGGGCCATCATGATCTACCATCTACATCAAGTACAGTACTTTATAAACAGTAGGTAGTGAACGTGGGGGTCAGGTATTCATGGTACGTTCATCTGGCCACGGCTTGTTAATTAGTGTAGATCTTACGTGTGTGTGTGTGTGTGTGTGTGTGTGTGTGTTAGGGGAATGTTCTGTGCACTCAAGCGTGTCTACCCTCGCACGAATACTTGGGAGTCCTTATTTCTCTGTTGGGGGGGAGGGAGGGAGGGGGGTAGGGGGAGGAAGGTTGAAGACTCCTACACCTCCACGAGAAGGAAGAAAAGGGGGGGGAATTTTGGGTCAGCTGGGCACCAATGATCGACTAACCCTACCTTACCTTACCGAACCTAACCCACAACACAACCTACCTAACCTAACCTAACCTAACCTAACCTAACCTTACCTAACCTTACCTTACCTGAAGTTACGAAAGGGAGAGAGAGATAGAGAGACTGAAGGGAAGGAGAGCGAAAGAAAGAGGAAAGAGGAAGAAGGGAGGCAGGGGGAGAGAAAAAGAACAGAGGAAGTATGACAGAGAGAGAGAGAGAGAGAGAGAGAGAGAGAGAGAGAGAGAATGTGAGTGGTGTCATCAATCGTCTACAGTACATTGCCTGGGGTACCTCAAGGCGTGTATATACCAGTGTACTTACCTCTTGATATTGTCCAACCATTAAGACTCTTCCTTGCAGCGCCTCTCATCCCAGGGTCTTCCTCTTCCTCCTCCTCCTCCTCCTCCTCCTCCTCCTCCCTGTAGATGTACCCGCAGCTGTGTACTTAATTAATGCCCCGTTTTGTATAGTCAGTGCCCCGTTTTGTATAGTCAGTGCCCCGTTTTGTATAGTCAGTGCCCCGTTTTGTATAGTCAGCATCCCGCTTGTATAGTCAGTTTAGGTTCTGTTGACGTGGTTTAGGTTCTGTTTGCGTGGTTTAGGTTCTGTTGACGTGGTTTAGGTTCTGTTGGCGTGGTTTAGGTTCTGTTGGCGTGGTTTAGGTTCTGTTGGCGTGGTTTAGGTTCTGTTGACGTGGTTTAGGTTCTGTTGGCGTGGTTTAGGTTCTGTTGACGTGGTTTAGGTTCTGTTGACGTGGTTTAGGTTCTGTTGGCGTGGTTTAGGTTCTGTTGACGTGGTTTAGGTTCTGTTGGCGTGGTTTAGGTTCTGTTGACGTGGTTTGGGTTCTGTTGACGTGGTTTTAGGTTCTGTTGGCGTGGTTTGGGTTCTTGTTGGCGTGGTTTAGGTTCTGTTGACGTGGTTTTGGGTTCTGTTGGCGTGGTTTAGGTTCTGTTGACGTGGTTTAGGTTCTGTTTGCGTGGTTTAGGTTCTGTTGACGTGGTTTAGGTTCTGTTGGCGTGGTTTAGGTTCTGTTGGCGTGGTTTAGGTTCTGTTGGCGTGGTTTAGGTTCTGTTGACGTGGTTTAGGTTCTGTTGGCGTGGTTTAGGTTCTGTTGACGTGGTTTAGGTTCTGTTGACGTGGTTTAGGTTCTGTTGGCGTGGTTTAGGTTCTGTTGACGTGGTTTAGGTTCTGTTTACTGTTTACGTAGTTGATGTCCTGTTTACATATCATTGTTGGTATTCAATTTACTAAGCAAGTTTTTTGTTGTCCGTCCGTCTGTCTGGTCGTCCGTCTGTTGATACTGTTTTAAAGTTGTGTTGGACGCATTTAACAACCTAAGGTCTTGTTATTTACACAGTTATTGAAACTTATCTTAGGTTATTGATCAGCCGTGTTATTGTTAGCTGTGGTTACATTAAGCTGTGTGTGTAAGAGGCAAATCACATGTATATAACGTGTTTGATGCCTTCTCATTAATATTAACGTCAGAGGAATTTCTTCATGTATGTATGTATGTACGTATGTATGTATGTATGTATGTATGTATGTATATGTGTTGCACGTATATCGAGCAGTGGTCCTCCCCACTCTGCTATATGGCAGTGAGACATGGGTCACATACAGGAGGCACCTCAAGGCAATTGAAAACTTTCACCAACGTAGTCTATGGACGAAAGTAGACTGCCAAAGCAGCTACTTTACAGTCACCTTACTAATAATAAAAGTAACGCTGGTAGGCAATTGAAAAGATAAGGATAGTCTTAAGACAAACCTGAAAAAGTGCCAAATCGACCCCCTCACCTGGGAGTCGATTACTCCACACCGTGACGCTTGGAGGAGCACCACACGAGAAGGTGTCAATACTTTCCAGTAGCCCGACTGCATAACGAGGCACACAAGCGCCAACGCCGGAAAGACGCTGCCGTCGCCCCTCCCTCACTAGATGTAGCCCCCCACATATACAACATCTGTGATCGACCCTGCCGGTCCCTTATCGGCCTCTTTAGTCACCTCAAAACTCACCAACCTAGGTGACATCCTTAATAACTCATACCATTGTATCATAGCTGGATGATCGTCATACTTGATTTCGAGTGAGAGCAAAGTATTATATGTGTGCCTGTGTGTGTTATACCTCCTCACCCCAGCCTCCTCCGTTAAAGGCTCGTCACCACCCGTTAACCCGTATATAAAACTGTCGTAAAATTACTAAGATCGGTTTATGACCTGAGGAGCAACGGAGACACCCTTCACTATACGGTTTAGGACCTGTCCCTCTTGTTATTGGTTCTTGGTCCCATAGTTTAGTCCGTGTCCGCCCATTGTCGACACGTTGGGATGGGGACCACTTGGTGTTTTGGGAGGATTTTGGTTTAGTTAGCTTTAGAAATCTGATGTTACCAGATTTTAGCTTTCGGATTGGGTTATGAATGAGTATTTGTGTGGATTTTTAGCTTTAGATTAGATGATTGGGCGTTTGTGGATTTTAGCTTTGGATTGGTTTGTGATTATGAGTGCTTGTGGATATTTAGCTTTGGATTGATTATGACGGATTGTTTGTGGATTTTTAGCTTAGGACTGGTTTTTGAATGCGAGGGATTTTAGCTTTGGATTAGGTTAAATTATATTTCATGTACCTTGTGTTTACCGATTTTAATTTGGATAGCTCATAAATCCTTTTTTGTGAGCAGATTTTAATAGCGTTGATTCAAGTATACGGATTACTGGTTTCGTTGTATAGAATTGGGTACGTGTCCGTGATTTATTTGTTAGCTTACGAAGCGTCCTGTACGTTACATGGCATTCCTGGTTCGTTAAGGTGAACTCCAGTACTTGCCATGAAATCACTCCTTCGCTAAGTAGAAGTTAGTACGTGTCCTTGAATGAGGTGTTCTTTAACGTACAATCCCCTTCGTGTCCGTGAATTACCGTCTCAGCATAGAATCCCGTACTTGTTCGTGAATTAGTCTCGTTAGCATAGAATCCCGTACGTGTCCGTTATGTGGCTATTTTAGGACCACGGACGAGGACCCACCTGCCGCTAGGGCGTTTATGGAACACTTAACTTTACCTGAACTGATAAACTGCGGCCTACAGTGAGTTAACACTGGGCGAGAGGGGAAAAGCCTAGTTAGAAATTCTGTTGTAGAAAAAAAACTTAGCTAATTTGAATCTAATTCTTTATACTGTTATGTAAAAAAAATATATACATCGATAATTTTAAAAAGTATGTGAACCTAACC